AAAAGACCATAGTTCCTGATCAGACTCCTGTGGCACCTCGACGTAGTGAGAGGGTAAGCAGGTTACCCAACCGATATACCGGGGAAGCCCAAATCATCACTGCTGACGACGAAAAGGATGATCCATCGACCTTTAAGGCTGTGATGGATGATTCTGATAAGAAAGAATGGCAAGCAACTATGAAACTCGAGATGGAGTCCATGTACTCTAACTCAGTCTAGCAACATGTAGATCTACCCGAAGGGGTAAAACCCATTGGATGCAAATGGATCTTCAAGAAAAAGAGAGGAGCGGATGGAAAAGTGGAGACTTATAAAGCAAGGCTAGTGGCTAAGGGTTATACCCAAAAAGAGGAAGTTGACTATGAGAAAACTTTCTCACCACTAGCTATGCTTAAGTCCATTCGGATACTCCTGGCCATATCAACATATTTTGACTATGAGATATGGCAGATGGATGTCAAGACAACTTTTCTGAATGGCTATCTTGAGGAAACCGTCTATATGGATCAGCCATAAGGTTACATAGAGGAAGGCCAATAGCAGAAAGTCTGCAAACTGCAGAGATCCATTTATGGATTGAAGCAGACTTCTAGATTATAAAACATCAGGTTTGATGAGGCTATAAAATCTTATGGATTTGATCAAAAGATTGATGAACCATGTGTCTATAAGTACAGGAAAGAACAGAAAGTGGTCTTTCTAGTTCTTTACGTCGATGACATCCTACTCATTGGGAATGATGTGGGGTTAATGACAGATGTAAAGAAGTGGTTAGCCAACCAATTCCAAATGAAACATTTGGGAGATGTGTGCTATGTTCTTGGGATTAAGATTATTTGAGATCGCAAGAAAAAGTTGTTGGCGTTATCACGGGCATTGTATATAGCCAAAGTGTTGTCTAGGTTCTCGATGCAGAACTCCAAGAAAGGGAATTTGCCTTCTAGGCATGGTATTCATCTTTCAAAGGAGCAATGTCCCAAGACCGTGGGAAGCCTCATGTATGCCATGTTGTGTAGAAGACCAGATATTTGCAGTGAAGTGTGTTCTCAAGTATCTTAGGAGAACGAGAAACTATATGTTAGTATATTCCGGAGAAGATTTGTCTCTCACTGGATACATAGATTCTGATTTCCAATCAGATAGAGATAGTCAACGGTCGACATCTGGATCTGTGTTCACTTTTAATAGAAGAGCCGTGGTATGGAGAAGTGTAAAGCAAAAGTGTGTTGCTGACTCTACCATGGAAGCTGAATATGTTGTAGCTTGTAAAGTAAAAATAAAACACTCAAGAATAATTAATTAAGAATTATTTATAAATTAAATAATGTGATTATGTAAATTTGAATTTAAATTTTGGATCACTTATGTGAAGGTGTTCACATAGTGTGAATGCAAGGCACAATGTGAACACACAGTGTGAACACATCTAGATATATCCATTTAAACTTATTTGATAAGTTGTTCAACTTAGAATTCAAATTAATTTAAGTTATACTTAAATTGGAATTTGAATTTGAGTCAAAATTTGACTGCAGGATAGGGGATGATTTTCTCTTCCTTCCCTATCTGTATTTGGTGCCAACCACAGGGATAAGATCACCTAATGTTGGCCGGCCATATTGAGGATAAGGAATAGGAGATTTTTATTCCAAATTCAAAAAGGAGATAATTAACAAACTTTGTCTTGGAGATAAAGATTGGATTCCTTTAAGGAGTTTGACTTCTACTCTATAAATAAGATAATGATAGAAAATTGTGAGACACAATTTTTACCTTAATTTTGAGTGGTGGCCGAATTTCTCTAAAGAGTGAGAGGAAAAAGTGTTTCTCTAAAAATTCCACATTGTGCATGCGTTGGTGTTTGTAGAAATTAGAGTGTTCATTCTAACCTGTTTTGTCTCAGGTGTGCTCACACACACGTCTTTGTAGATTCTAGGAATTGACGTGGAAGACATTAGTTTTCTATACACAAAGCTTTAGAGCAAGGATTGTTCGTGGTCAAAGAACTCAAATTATCACCCTAATTGGCCGCCAACAATAATTCCTAATTGAGTTTCTATTAAATAAATTAATGTGATTAATTTATTCATGCATAAATTAATATAATCTATAGAGTATCTCAAAGATTTTATGAAAATTTTTGTTACACACGATCCGCTACCCTCATGCTTCCGCATCCGAATTTGATTCGGAAACCAACACCCTTTAATAAACATGTTTTTAGAACTTGCAAATCATATTTGCTTGATTCTTTTCTTTTATTTCAATGGAAGCGACTTTCCTTTTGTCTTTTGGTTAGGCCCTTACAGTATCTAGCCAAGCCTTTCTTGTATGGATTTTTATATACGGTGTCTGATGAATGCATTATCTCATAAGCTGTCTCCATGCCTTCATGCTTCTTGTGAAATACCACGCACAACCCTGGCTAATAGTTAGCTATTGTGTTTTCCTTAGGGACAGAACAACAATCGTCCATTTGGCAATATCTTATATTCATCACATGAATGTAAGTTGTTTATGTTACTTTACCACTTCACATAGTTTATCTCTAGTCAGTATTTCAACTTCATGTAGTGAGATTATAGGATTTGACATATTGCTAGAAATAAGTAGAATATTGTCACGCCCTGAAGCCGGGGTCAGTGACGTGGAGGCTCGATTAGGAGTAATAGTCAAAATCCAAAAGTAAAGTATTAAGTAAATTCCTAAACAAGCCTCCCTTTACATATGGCTGAAAATAAATTACAAGAATGTCACGGGACCTGCCCCACTTTCTAAGTCATTCAGGGCTTCACCCACAGGATATGCAGCATTGTACATACATGAATATGTAAATAATAATACATACATCAACCACAGTCTAGAATCCAAAGTCCGGAGTTACAGAATTTACAATTCTTACATTTGTACACCAAGAGGATGAACACAATCCTCTCTTAACCGGATGGTAGAAGCTAACTTCGCTATTCCGCACTGCTCCTAGAGTCGCCTGGGAGGGGTTAATATTTATAAAACAATAAAACGTGAGCAAAAGGCCCAGTAGGATATTTTTTAAAATAACTTTATAAACAAACAAATAAATGAGTAAGCAAGTAAATAAATAAATGAATAAGTAAATAAGACATTTAGTTCCAGCACAACAGCCGAAACCTCACATCCTTTTTTTGAAGGGAAATATAATTGAAAATCTCTGTATTATAGGCATCAACAAGTAATTTATACTATGATAAATTACTTACACAACCACAAGCACAAGCCTTATCACCCCTAGGCCGGGTTTCGGGTTCTGCCCCCAAGGATGCACTCTCCACATCCTATCTAGGCCATTAGCTAGTTTCCTGATTCGCAAGATCTCTTGTCTTAAGAAATCATTCATTAAACTTTATGAAACAGTTCATTATAATTCCAATAGCTAAAATCAAGTTATTGTTTTTAAACATGCTTTTCTTTCGCAAACATGCCCTTTCTTTAAAACATTTGCAAGGCCAAAACTCTTTTAAAATCAGGCTAACAAAAAAAGGGGTAAGAAATCCTACCTCTCAACTATCAAACCTGTGACTAGCGTGGTAATATTCTGGTTTTTGCTTCTTTAATGCCCCTCAATCCGAGTCCTTAGCTAGCACTGATACAAAACAACACTTTAGGATCCAATTCTCATTCCTAAAGCAATTTCAATCTCAATTATATCCTCTGATTTCCTATTAGTGTGCCATAATTTAATTACCGATTTCATAAACCAATTCATGTTTCAAATCATCATTCCAAGGGTTTTGACTCCAAAACATGGATTAAAGATGCTAATCCACTCACTCTAGAGCCCCAAGCGAAGCTAATTTGGATTCTCCTCGAAAACTGAGGTTAAAACAACATTTTCAGGCAAAACAGGGTCAAACCCCGTGACACTGGTCGACCGGTGACAGAGTAGTACAACACCACCAGTCGACCGGTGGTGTGCACTTCAGTCGACCACACAGGTTGACCTGATGGAGTGCAATCCGGTCGACCGCATAGGTCGACCAGTAGACTCAGGGCAGGATGGCCAACATGGTCGATCCGAAGAAAATTAACGTAAAACCTACAATTTCAAGTTCAAATCTGAAATATTTCAAGGGGAAACAATTAAATCTAGGTTCTAATTACTAAATCAAGTCCATAGAACCTAAGATCCCCAATTTCCACCACGATTTTACACAAAATCGTTCAAAATCCATTTCGAACCAAAAATAAATTTTCTAATCCAAAAAACTTGAGATTCAAGAGAGGTTTTTAGAAATCTTACCTCAAATCCTTCTCTTGACGTTGAAGACTTCTTTAAATTCCTCTTTGGTTCGAGATTTGGTTGGTTTTGTGTCAAAAATGAGAGGAGAGAGAGTGAGGGTGCTGCACGGGAAAAGAAAGAAAATGAAGAAAGAAGAAAAGAAAAGGAAAAAAAAAAAAGAAATATAGGTGTCCAAGTATTTAAAATAACAGTCCAGAAAATGTGTCTACACACACTTTGGGGTGAAAATGTAATTACTGAAAATGTTTAAATACCTTAGAATTATTTAAATTTACACGTTAGAAACATTTATTAATCAATAATAAATTAATTAAACTAGATTAGGCACACTAATAAATCTTAATTACCTTAATTAATCTCGTTTAATTCGTCGATGTGTTACAACTCCACGCCCCTTAAGGAATTCCATGCTCGAAATTAGGACTTACTTCAAAATGCAAATAGATGCGGGTATTGCTCCTGCATCGTCGTTTCAAGCTCCCAGATCACTTCCTCAACTCCATGGTGCTGCCATAAAACTTCCACTAGTGGTATCTCACGATGACGCAAACTCTTCATCTTCTGATCAAGAATCTGAACTGGTGCCTCATCGTATGTCGTGTCATACTGTATTGGAATGTCATACCATTGCACCACAGCTTCCAGATGGAGACATGGAACACGTCATGCACATGAGATAGCTCAGGTGGTAAAGCCAAATGATACGCCATGGCACCAACTCATTGCACAATCGGGAATGGTCCAACGTACCTTGGCGTAAGTTTCTCTTTTACACCAAAATGCGCAACTCCTTTGCGTGAAGAAACCTTTAACAAAATGAAGTGGCCTTCCTGGAATTCCAAAGGCCTACACCTTCTGTCAGCATAGCTCTTCTGACGACTTTCAGCTGTTAACAGTCGCTCCCGAACTACCGTTATCTTCTCGTTGTTCTCTTGAATCACTTATGGTCCAGTAGTAAGTCGATCCTTGGGTTCCAACCAACAAACAGGTGATCTACAAGGCCAACCATAGAGAGCTTTGAATGGTGCCATACCGATACTGGCCTGATAGCTGTTATTGTAGGCAAACTCAGCAAGGTGAAGATATTTCTTCCAGGTTCCACCAAAATCCAGAATACAAGCATGAAGCATATCCTCTAGAATCTGAATAACTCTTTCAGATTGTCCATTAGTCTGAGGATGAAATGCTATGCTAAAATTCAATTTGGTTTCCATGGCTTCCTAGAAACTTTTCCAATACCTTGCATTAAAACGAGTGTCGTGATCGGACGTAATGGATAACGGTACTCCGTGAAGCCTGACGATATGCTCCAAGTACAACTCTGCCAGAATCTTCTGAGAATACGTCGCATAGAATGGTACGAAATGCGCAGATTTCGTTAACATGTCCACCACCACCCAGATGGCATTGTGCTTTTGCTCAGTTCTAGGTAGTCCCATCAAAAAATCCATCGTGATGTGTTCCCATTTCAATCCCGGAACAGGTAGAGGCTGCAATTCTCCTGCAAGTTTTTGTTGTTTTACTTTGATCTGGAGACAAGTTACACATTCTGAGACATACTCACAAATGTCTTTCTTCATACCTCTCCACCAGTATTACCTCTTCTACATCTTGGAACTCCCAGGATGAATATTGTAGCGTGACTTATGGGCCTCATGCAAAATCACCTTCTTGATCTCATCCACCTTAGGAACGACTAGGCGGTTATGAAAGTAAAGTGCTCCATCCTCTTGGATTCTCCAATCCTTAAGTCGCTCTCCATTCTGGATTCAAATCAAAATTCCTTGGAGATAAGGATCCTGCCACTAATTCTGCTTAACTTGTTACACAAGAACTGGTGTGGAGATCAGAATATACACCATTGCATGGTTATAATCCTCGTGGTACTGAAGATCATAATCGCTTACCACTTCAGACATTTTCCAGTCTTCCAAAGCTAGTGACGCCATAATTCCTATAGTCTTCCTGCTTAGGG